TCCACCTCCGCCTTCCACGTGTAACAAACACTTCCCCGGCGGACTCTCCCCCGGTGAACACAATCAAATAAACAATGTGGCTTCTTTTACTGAAAAACAGAGTGCCTATTAGAGAGAGCAAACGACCTGATTGTTGATTGTGTTAGCATGTCTGAGTGCCTCACTAAATTGCCCACAAGGGCTGAAGGCAGCAGAGAGAGTAGGTAGAGGAGGGAGCAGAAGAGCAGGGAGAGAGAGAGGGAGAGAGAGACAGAGGGCGGGGGATTGGAGGGGGGGGGGACTCTTGACTTTCAGATGAGAGGGAATAAAATTGGTGCTGTTTTTTCAAGACACAAGAATAGATTAGCCAGGATTCTGGGAAGCTGGAGCGTGATTACAGCGCTATTGTTGTTGTCGTTGGAATATATCATATCGCAGTGTCTCCTGCAGCCCGGGCTAAATAAATCTGCTGTAATCCCCTCGGTGAGACCCGGCAGCTTCGTGTGGCAGCTACTTAGCCAGGCTAATTAAAACTCTTCCATGTCTTGCTTTCCTTCAAATTTACATGCCAGCATGTGTTGCTGAGGTTGTGCAGGCTCCATTGGTGGGATGTGTTCTATATAGAGCAAGCCTCCTACTCCCAGTCAGTGTGAGCACGGTGAGAGAAGAGGAGGAGAAAGCAGAAGAAAGGAGAAACAATGTGAAAACTTGCCAGGAGAGCTGAGAAGACAGGAGCCTTTCTTGTGTGTGAGATCTAAATATGGGGCATTTCATTGATGACCCACTTTATTAGGAGGCAAGAGATGTGTATGCGCACACACACACGCATACACACAAGCGCGCATACACACTTAAGCGATTATTGTCACTGGGCTAATTATGAAAGGCAATTAGCACTGCTTACATGGCAGGGGGAAGACGGAGAGGGAGCAGGGAAATGTTTTTATCCTCAGCGCAACATTTAAGGACTTGCATCTTGAAAATTGGATGGAGGCAAAGCGCCGCAGTTTCCTGGGAAATAAGGCGTCCTCACGTGGGAGTGCTTGTCACTTAATCATCTGGATTTGTTCAAGGTGACATGGTGATGCACTTGGGAACCGTGGTCCAATTCCTCCTCTGGGGTGGTGAGGCTTAATGAATGGATGTGTCCTAGGGCGACCTGTGACTTCCAATCCTCCCGGCATGAAAGATGGATGAGGAATTTTATGACATTTAGAAAAAAAAAGTATTTTTCATATACAGTGGAGAGAAAGGAGGATGATGGGAGATAAAGAGGGTGACACGTGGTCAAACCTGTGTGTCAGGTTCAAATCCATTTTAATGAAGGAGAATATCATTCACCACAGGCTGCACCACTAACCCCTGTGTCTGTTCAGGTTAATGGATTTAATGGCTTTTGAATGCAGGCGGTAGAATGTTATAGAATTAATGTTATAAATAGATCTTCAAATGTGGCTGTAAAATTATTTTATTTTATTAAGAATGTATTTTTAGTAATGTAATTTATTTGACTTTTAGAAAAGAAATCCAAGGTAGTAAATAAATTAGAAGGCTGGTTCAAAGGCAAATGAAATATTAAAACAAAGGAAAAATAATCAACCTGAAATCTGACCTTAGCAGCACTAATCATCTTAATATTCAACAGACAATTGTTAGAAAATTGGAGAGACACAAACCAGTTGAATTGATTTTGAATTTGTTTTCCATCCAAACTGTCCATACAGCTGCTGAAATTATGGTAATGGTTTAAACCTTGATAAGTCCATATTTTCATTTAACCCCAAGTTTATCCTGTTATAAAACACCAGATAAACGGGATAATACAGTACATATGATATATTACAGGCTTTAGTCTCAGTCAAACAGAAATACCCACACCAGCCTTCTTTTCTCCTATTAATCACTGCTCGTGTTTATTTGAAAAGCGGCTACAGAACCGCACATTTAAAGCTGTATAAATTCTCTTGATTTGTGACGGTGAGCAGGCAGATGAAACAGAAAAGTAAAATGCCCCATTAGACGCCCCGTTATTTACTGCTGCAGCGGAGCTGCACATGTGTAAACGATTCATTTATGCACAAGGGTATTTAATCTGAACACACTGACAAATTTGTTTCTCTGTCACTGACACGGTGTCGAGGTAATTCTGATCATTCATCTTGGACTAACCTCCAGGACCCCCCCCCAAAACCCTGACGTGTGCTTCACTGTGGGCAACAGTAGCAGACTCTCCTGCGGCGAAAGACGAGCGCAGACCAAACACGACAGTGTTGATTGATTGGACAATGGATCCTCAGCTCCCTGCCAGCACTTCATGTGCTAGTTCCCATTGTGTTAAGGCATAATAATGCACTGCGATGCAAAAACAAAGAGTCAGACTAACTCCAGAAGACAAAAGCAAACAAATTAATAATAGCTGTACAGGACAGAGGGTGGGGGGGGGCTACGGGGGCTGCTCTGCCTCAGTGGAGCACCTGGCCTAATTGGAGCAATTTGAGACGGACACCCAGTGCCAACAATCACAGCACCTTCAGTCGGCTTTGGAAGGATTTCAACGAGGGCAGGGCCGCAGAGGAGAGGACTGGAGCCCGGGCGCTCAGGTGTGCACTGTAAATGATGGTGTGTGCAGAGAGAGTGCAGCGGGGAGGGGGTTAAATTTGACGCTTTGCCAAAAAAGGATTTTCCTCGGGTGAAACCTGAGACGTTTGAAACAGCAGGCTGCAGAGTCGGCAGGACTGGATTTTGGGGTCACCGTGTTCGTTGAGGGGTTGGGAGCTCGGGGGTGGAGCGGGGATGGGGGTTAACTTGTCATCTGTAATAGAGGAATGTGGGGCCGTCTCTCCGGGGCAGGATATTCCCTTTCACACTCGGGTTAAAAAAGAAAAAGAACGGCAGTAGGAGAGGGAAGGGGCTGGGAGGAGCTGGGCCTCTCTCTCTCTCTCTCTCTCTCTCTCTCTCTGTCTCTCTCTGTCTCTCTCTCTCAGACACACGGGGGCTGAACGCCGTGTTCCAGTGGCCTATTTTCAGTTCCTAGAAACTCCAGACGTGCAGAGCCTCTTCAAGGTAGCGCTGAACAAACTCCTGACTGAAGCAGTTTCAGACTGAAGAACACAGTCACAGGCAAATGTGGTAAATTAAACCCCGTCAGTTCATTCAGCTCCAATCAAGTCCAGTCAACATGGATTACATTTTTTTTATCCAGTCAGTTTCAAGGCGAACAGCTGTACAGAATGTGCACAACTTTAACTAAAGCATCATTCTTGGACACTGATGTTAGGAGGGATGACTTCATGAAAATGATGGAATGATTTTGGTCAGGCAGCCTTGGACATACATCACAAACATGTTTCAACACTGGTGCTGGATAAATCTGCAGCTCTGTATCCAGCTGATTGGTCAGAGAGCTGTCACAATCACAGCTGATTACAGAACAATGTGAGTCGGTGATTGACAATGAAAAGACTGATAGACACTGACAAAGACTTTAAAAAGCACCAGTGTGAGGCTCCAGCTGGAATCCAGTGAACTGTTCTCATCCAGACTGTTAGGAGGTTGAACTAGGAACAAACAAGAACACAGTACACGCATCCTCAGTATTACTACAGTACACTTATCCTCAGTATCACTACAGTACACTTATCCTCAGTATCACTACAGTACACATACCTTCAATATTACTGCAGTACAAATATCCTCAGTACAGTGACAGTACACATATTCAGAGTATTGCTCCAGTGGACGTACCTCAGCTGCAGCTGTTCCTGCTGTTCCTCAGGACAGTCGAAGCTGCTCCTCTGATGTCGGCTCACATGTGTTTCCTGGAGGACGTGTAGACATCAACAGCTCAGGATTGACTCCAAATGTGGAACGTCATTAACAAGATCAATGCCTTCCTCTGTCCTGTATGCTGTGTTTTCCTGTTTTATGGTTACGGGTTTGAAGATGGAAGTGGTGATGTCAGGTTGAGTGCCAGGCTGCAGCTTGGGTTCATCTGTGGTTCATTTCACTGGATCCCACCCCCCCACCCCCAAACCCCCTATGTATCCTGTGATTCAGTGTATCACTCAGTCACTCACACACACACACATATTGTCCTTCCATTGTGCTCTTTTATTCCCACCTGATTAATTCATACTGTGCATACACACAATGAAATATTGTGGAAACACTTTCAGAGGTGTGTTTGTAGGAGAACAACAAAAACAGCGGCGTGTTTTCACTGCAGACCTGCTCTCACAGCCTTTGTCCCAGGCTTGTGTTACCGAGATCAAATGGAAACTTTAGAAATATACAGCTGAGGTGTATTTATTCTGGTGTAATCATTCGGATTAAGTCGGTGCAGAAACACATTAATTCCTAATCCTTCCCGTGTCCCCTCGCCCTACGCCACCGTCTCCCTTGTTTTCCTCCCTGTTCCTTTTGCTCCCCCCTCTTCCTCTGCTCTCTGTCTCCACCATGCATTACACCACCAAAAGCGTTTAATTTGTCAGGGAGGGGTTGAGTGTGAGTGTGTGCGTGTGTGTGGGGGGGGGTTCGAAACACTCGTTCAGAGCAGCTTTGAGCTTCTGCCAAACTCTCGTTCACATTGTGCTGCTTACAGCTGGTTTTACCCTTTCTTTCTCTCTGCTCTGTTCTTCTTCTCCGTTTCTTTTTTTTTTGTCTGTTCAGCACTGTCTGCTTTTCTCAGTGGTTTATGCCACAGGGAGTTGGGGGGCAGAAGAGAGGGGGTCACTTGTCATGGGGCCAACTTTCGGGGTTTCCATGCCTTGTTCTTGGACAGTCACGAACACAGAGACACAGGTCCAGGCAGCCATTCCAATCAGGATTCTGCTTTGCACTTTCATTCATTTATACAACCTGAGTATTATTAATGTTAGTATATATTTTAATATTCATAATGACCAGTAGATATCAAATGACAATTCACACCATGCTCCTAACTAGACAACATTTATTTTTACAAGTCTTTATCTGCATTTTTGATGGTATATATTTGATTTCTTCCATCTTTTTTGTTGTAGACTTGTGCACATTGAGGCTGGTCTGACAGGAAGTCACAAACCTTCACAAATCCATGCTGAGCGTTGAGGTGGCGTTTGAAGCTTGAGGTAAGTCAGTGAAACAAAACATTGTTCTGCAGTTTGTGCAAGTATCTGTAGTAAGCATCTGTATAGATATCTGCGTATTAGAGCAATGATGAGTGCTTGGATGGTAGAAGTGTCAGTGTTACAATGCGTTAAAGTGTTTAATCTGATCAATCTCCAGTAATGAATTAATGGTTAAGCTGTTAATTCCAACAGCACTAGTATGTATAAATATAAATGAAAGACACATTTTAAAATATACCAAAAAGATAGAATACAATATAAGCACAGTACAAGTTCAGTGTATACAGCGCTGTGTGTAAATGGTTCAAAAACATGTCTGGCAAAATTTCAAATAGAATGATATCATGGCTGAAATTAACTAAGACACAATGCACAAAGGAAGTGAACTGGGATAAGAAAAGGCAGAATGAAAGCGAGGATGGGAAACATGGGTGCTGCGGCAGAGATAGAGCAGGAGACAGATGAAATCACAGAGATAAAAGGGGGCAAAACGAGACAAGGAGGCAGGGAGAAACTCCAATAAAGGCTCTGATCAGATAATGGTGTCTCCGAGGACTTGCAAATGTCCTTTTATCTCAGAAAGAAACACAGATATTAAAAAGCAGGCAAAGATAACACTTGGTCATTTACTCCTTTTACCAAGAAGAGTTATTACAGTAAATTGGATCGGAAAAATACTCACCCTGGTTCATCACCATCGCACAAGGAGTGACTAAAGTTTCCACTTCCGACATCTCATGGTGTCAATGTGACGACATGTTGTAGCCGATGAAGGAAAGAGGAGTGAGTGATGCAGTCTTTGGTTGAAACCACACACTTAGTCAGGACTGACTGAGTCACCCTGTGAGCTGCTTTACCAGTCAGGTTATCCCACAGTATCAGGTGATGTCTTTGTTAGCTGCCAGATGTCGCCCACTAATGTGAGAAAGACACAATAAGTTCTGTTTGAACAGAGGAAAACAATAGAAAACAATGTGCTCTAACAGCTTGTCTGTAATTCAAAGGCGAGGTCGGGATCAACTGAAATTAAATTGTTTTTGCAGCTAGGGTTGTACAGATTTGTCATTTAGAAAAAGTAAGTCCTTACACAAAACAACGTATATCTAAAAGATAATTAGGTCTTGGATCAAAACCAACACCAACTGCATCAATATATTGAATAAATAGGTCTTGTTTTGCACATTTGCAAATCATATGTGCAAATTAATGTCATTTTTTATTTCTTCGATAATTTAAAGAAACAGAGTGCAGACTCCTCCATATTATGATTTTTTAATGTGCACTATAATGTCAGATAAGAGAAGTGGAACAGAAAGGGTTGTTTGGCCCAATATAGGGCCAGCAGGCGGTCAGCTTTGGTTGAAACGTGGCCCTCATCTGGTGTCCAGACCATGAGTCCTATAAGCGTATTTTCAGTGTCATCTGTATACATCCATAGATGAAATGAAGGTCACTTGTGTGGCCCATTCGTTTGCTGGAACAATTTTCAGTTTTGAGATCAGTAACATACGCCATACAATAGAAAACATCAGAGCGATGTTATGTTAAATGAAAACAAACAGGAAAAGTTTGCGTTCATTTATTGGGAGCAGATGGATGAGTGTGGTCACTGCCGACATCATCTCTGGCCTGAATGTTCCGGACGCTGATGTGAATGTGCCTGACTCACAGAACCTTCTGGTTATTTGTCATATGTGGACAGCGAACGTGTCTGGACCCAGTTTTCCCAGACGTTTTCCAGAGCAGTCTCATTATACGATCGTTATTGCTATATTTATTCTGACACTGGCAAAGGGACAACAGCTTGTGAACATGGTTAAGTCGACACTTTACAATTTATGCAATTTTTAGACGCAAAACTTGCAGAATTAGCAGAAACACATGGCCTAATATATAGGAGCCTGTTTACAGAAACATCGCGACAGCGTTCCTGTCATCTGAACTAAAGCAGGCTGAGAAGTGATACATCATTAGAAACAGAAACTGAGGCTAAGTCCAGAGAGCACTGATGGATGAAGAAGAGAAAGAGGCATATTTAAATCTAAATATCTAATGAATTCTTTCCATTGGAGTGCTTGATATGAATGGACCACAGAGGAGCTAGTCAGAGGTTTCCTTACTAAGGATTAGGGAAGGTCAGTGTGAGCAACGAAAAAATCATAACAATTTGAACTCTATTGATCCCAGACTTGGGAAATTCTTGTGTTAACAGCAGATCTGCTGCTACAGGCTGCACCTTGGAGGCACCAAGTTTGTGGTGCTAACCGCTACGGAACCATAAATGTGTTTGCACGTCACGAACAGGATTCTACCTGGTGTTTGCACGTCACGAACAGGATTCTAACCTGGGCGGGGAAACCCCTTTGGATTTAGAGTTCAGCGCCGTAAACCTTTCGGCCACCGTGACTGCGACAAGTTTGAAGGCTTCAAACGCCTGTGAGTTGTCAGTAGGTTCAACTTGACCTCCTACAACCTTGAACTTTTACTCATGACTAAGACATGTACGTACAACAAGGAACGTTATCAGCTGTGTGTCACACACACTCCTGGCAACAGTTTGTTCAGTCTTGTTAGTCTTGTCTTGTCTTGGCTCAGCTCAGCTCTGCTCACATCATCTCTCTATTTCGAGCCCAAAGTGCCATAGGAAACATGACCGTGTGGTGACTCCTCCAGGCTTACACTTCGCTCTAATCGCCTGGGAAAACAGGAAATTGCGGTCCTGGAAAATGTAATGTTTACACTCTTAAGTAGGCAGCCCCTCCTCCACCTCCACACTCCTTTTGTTATTTGATTTTCCTATCTTTGCTGATTGTATCGTTCTCCTTTATTGATGTATTAGAATTGACTGTGCCATATTTTTTAACCACTCTACAAACGCTGTTGTAAACCTGATTTAAAGGCCAGCCAAAGGAAATAGCTTTGGTCGTTGCAGATGCATCAGACAGCAGCAGCATTATAGGTAAATTGTGTTATATGCTCTATTAATTTAAAATTATGCTCAGCAATTACAACAAACTGACTCCTAAAATGATCAATTAGCAATTTGATCAACTTTTGGTAATGTCTTGTAGATACAATCCACCTCATTCTGTGCTAACTTCCTATGATATTTTATTCTGTTATATTTATTCTATTTTATGGCTGATCTTTTGCGATTTCAGCTTTGATTTTTTGTTCTAAGGACACTTTGATCTTTTGGTTTACTTTGAAACATTTCTGCTATTCTCTGCTAACATTTAGACGTTTCATGTCTAAAAGTCCTTGACCAAAACTACTTACATGTGTCGATGTTTTTTATTAGCATGGTTGACAAGGGCTTGGAGAATAGAACACATTTAGAATTTTTCCCCACTATTAAACATTGGGACAATCCAGGGTTGCATTTGACGTTTATCATGTCCAGATGGTATGTGGCCCAGATATCACTTAAGGTGTTTTAAATCCTTCTTAGAAACAGACAGACCTTTTAAAATCTTTGGTCTACTTCTTGGTGAATAGCAGGATTTAATCATACCATATTAAGTGTTAACACACTGTTCTCAACATGGCTGTTTCTTCAGAGCAGTGCTCTGCACCCCCTCTCTGTCGTAACAATTATCTTCATCTTGCCTTCTTCCAGTGTTTAGAAACCTGTGACATTTAGCTTTTCTCTCCACCCACAGTAGAATTGGTCTATTATCCTGTGGTTCTGAAAATCTGACTGACTTCTCCATAATAAATGTGGGGTTGATACCAAAAGCTCCAAACACTGTGCTGCATTTGGGCCAGATAACAAAAATCCACCTTTTGACCATTGTTTTGTTTTACAGTTCCATAGAAAATTTAGTTTCGTATATTCATGGAAACATTTTTCAAATACATCACAACCACAAACTCCACCCACGTCTACCTGTAACTCTACCTGCTCCGGTTCTATGACCAGGCCATCAATCACGCTGCTCCCTTATTATCTGTGTTATTCACATTGGCCTAAAGCCCTTACTCCTCACCTCATGGATCACAGATCTTTTGCACATGTACGTGCCTGTGTGTGTGTGTGTGTGTGTGTGTGTGTATACATGTTTTTTCATCAGCAATGATAAACATAGACAGATTGGTGTAACTTGATCTCTGGGCATCCAGAGTGCCTTGCCACTGTTTTGTTTTCCTTGAAGGGACATGAGGAGCAGACAGGTGAACACACGTGGAGCCTTCAGGCACTTGTGCACTCAGAGAACACATACACATATATTACATATACACACACACACACACACCATCTCTTTTTCTGAGCCTGTTCTAATGCCTCTCTTTAAGCCCCGGAGTGAAAGGCCACGTTCCCTGGGTGTCTCTTTTACAGTGTTCTGAAGTGTTGACAGTTACACATTATGGAGACAAATTGAGGCCCTGAGTTTGATTCGCCTCCAGACGTCACAGATGGATGTTGCAAAACACTCCGAGTATAATCTTGATGGAGTTTCAGAGTTTTTGGAGCAATCTCATGGCTCACGGAAAGACCAGGATGATGAATGATGACACTGATAAAAAAACACCTCCATGATGTTATCCCGTGGTTTATCTGTGCAATGGGAAAATGCCAAAAGCAGACCGTGCATGAAAATGACAAAGGTGGGCCAAAGAAACTGACCAAAAGAAAATACTAATTTAGTGTTATTGAAATAAATAGAGACCTTGCTGACTTTTAGAGATATTTTCTACTCAGGACAAGTGCTGTGGTCGTCTACATGGGTCTGGAAACACGGTGGTCAGGTGGTTCCCTTACATTTGCATAAAAATACAGAGAAATATTTTTGTGTTGGCGGCAGGGGGGCAGACTAGGGTTAAGTGGTCGCGCCATGTTGGTTTACCCAGCAGGCCTTGATTTAGTCTGTGGCAAAGGACAAAGCTATCATTAGCAACTCACCAGACTCACCACCACTACACACTGATAATACACCAGGCTGCGGCAGTCGGTTGAAAAGAAGACACTCAAGAGTGTCTCAACATGTGCCGTCAGATCC